CTTGCTCTGGAATGTGTTACTGAATATGTTAAAGTTATAATGAAATGCTTCTTCTAATTATGTGGTTATTAAATTTAAAAAATTTTTAAAAATTAAAAACTTTAAAAAATACAAAGTGTAAAATATGGAAGCCAAGGGAAGGGACAAAATAACATTTAAATGTGCACGTGCTGTTTAATTTGAGGTTGCTTTGTGCTTCAGATGTAGAGCATTTGATGGTAGGACAACAGGGAAAGGTAATGAATTGTGAAAACATGCTGATGGTTTACAGAGAGAGGCTTTTCCCTTTGGATGAGATTGTTTTCATACCTGTATCTTTTGGCATTTTTTAATGTAAGGATTTCATAGCTTGATGGTGTTTAACTGCTGGAACTGCCAGCAGGAGTGCCACACAGTAACCAGATCCTAGAAAAAGTGGCCAGGAACCACCTGCTCCATCCTACTAGCAGGCACAAAGCAAGATACTGATTGACAGTATTTTAAACTTGTCAGGAATAAATAAATGAGTGCTTTATCTGCAAAAAAAAAAATCTTTCCAGTTTTAGACATTTATGAGTTACTTCCCAATACTGAAGCTTGAAAGGGGATCTGAGGACTGAACTTGCCACTACCAACAAATGTCTGGTGCCCACAACTGTGTCAAAAATGGCAATGCTGAGGAGAAACAAAAGGGCATATTCCATAAAAATATGAGGAGCTACCAGCATTCAGCATAAGCCACTAAGCCCCTAATAAGACAATAAAGTCTTCCTTAAAGGGAGCTAGACACAAAGCCACAAGGTATGGTTGTTTGCTTGCAAAGATCTGGTGGCCAACAATTCTCCCAGTCTGCCAAAGTCATGACTCTTCTTCTTCAGAGGTGGACTGTATTAGCACTTTTAGTAAAATCTTCCAAATCCTGGAGGCTAGGGAATTTGTGAAGAAAACAAACAATCTGGTTCATAATTCTGGAGTCTAAGGCCAAGGAACCGTATCTGGTGACAGCCTTCCTGCAGGTTGAGGTACAGGGCATCATAAGGTTAGAGACAGGAAGTGCTTGTGTGTGTGTGTGTGTGTGTGTGCGTGTGTGTGTGTGTGTGTGTGTGTGCATGTGTGTTCGTTCTGGTCTCTCCCCCCAGGGCCTTGAGCACACTAGGAAAGTATTCTACCACTGAGCTACATCCCAATGCAGTCATCCAAAAAGTGTTTGTTCATACACTTTGACTTTGGGTCAGTGATTTAGTAATGTAAAAGAGACAGAAATCAAGACCAAAAGCAAGATGAAATGGCAAATATTATGGGATACTATCCCTAATCAAACTGAGGGCCAAAGAGCTATGTACTTGTGGTGGACCCAAACTAAACTCATTTTCTTCCCTCTAATCTCAGGGAGTATAGAAAAGATTGTGAAAAGAGTGTCTCTGTGTTGAGCAGAGTATGCGTGTGTGTGTGTGTGTGTGTGTGTGCATGTGTGTTCGTTCTGGTCTCTCCCTCTTACAAAGCCATCAATATTTAATCATGAGGGCTCCCCACCCTGATGACCTTATCTAATCTTCATCTCCTCCCATAGGCTCCAACCCTACACACCATTTGACAATAGTCAAATTAGATTCCAACTCTTATTAATACATCATTCATTCATTCATTCATTCATTCATTGTGTGTGTGTATGTGTGTGTGCATGTGTGTGTATAGGGGCATGCATATGGAGGTCAGAGGACAACTTATGGGAGTTGGTTCCCTCTACCCACCATGTGGGTCCAAGGGATAGAACTCAGGCCATCGAGCTTAGTGGCAAGTGCCCTTACCTGATGAGTCATCTCTCCAGATCTCCACCATCTTAATACCTCACAATGGGTATTAAATTTCAGTATATGAACCCTTTGGAGACACAAAAAGACCATATCCAAACCACAGTATGGAGAACAGTCATTTCTCTTCCTATTGGAGAGACTTGTGACCTGATCTGACCAACAGAATACAATGGATTTGACTCTGTTCCAGGCCTAGGCTCTAACATCTATTCTCTTTCTATGTTTGCCCCTCTTTCAAGTTTGAGCTACACTACAGGGTGATAAGAAACAGAGGGAGTGAAGAAAGAAGGGACCACATGGAGGAGGATCAAGGTGTCTCAGCCAACAGCTAGCCTTAATATCCCAGATGTGTGTGAGGTGATGCCATCTTGAAGCTTTCAGTCCCAGGGAAGCCTTCTACCTAGTATCAAAAGGGACACACATGAACACTCTCAAAGCTTCTGATGCACAGACTTGAGAGTAGTAAGACTGCTACTGCTTTAAATCACCGTGTTTAAAGATGATTTGCTGTGCAGCAATAGAAAAATACAACAGGATACAGCTGGTGGTTCTATCTTTCCATGGAATAGTGCTGACAGCTAGATGCCTGAGTTTGCACACCCTCATTTCTACACCACCTTCTGTTTATTCCTGGATTCTTCATCATCATTATTCCAAAGTACTAACATACTGCTTTTATATAAAAATGTTCTCAAAAACAGGAGAGACTGCTATGCCACAGACTGCAGACATATCAAAGATCTATATTAGGGCTTGTTCCAAAAAGACAGCTGATGCTATCAGATGTAAAAGTACTGCTGAAAGGCAATGATACAGAAAAACCACCACTTATAGATGGTGGGTATCTGATTCCAGAAAATCATAGCTAAGTATCAGGGAATGCTATTAAATAATATTAATGATGACCTTTTAATATTGTAGATTTTTAAAGAACAAGTCTCTGACAGGATTTTCTGAGGACACAAAAAGTCTCTGGGTTTAATGGTTAAAAGGTAAGTTGTATTGGCAGGGGTTATTCAAAGCACTATCTCCAGAAAGCCCAAGACCAGTACACGGCCAAGAATGATGAAGATGGTGGCTTATAATACTGTTACCAATAATCTTGTGAGGTTAGTGTTAGTGGAGTAGTTAGATTCTAGATTTATATTGCATGATTTACTCACATTCTTTTTTTTTTTTTTTTTTTTTTTTTTTTTTTTTGTCTTTTTTCGAGACAGGGTCTTCTCGTAGCCCCACCTGTCTTGGAACTCACTATGTAGACCAGGCTGGCCTCGAACTCACAAAGATCCGCCTGCCTCTGCCTCCCAAGTGCTGGGATTAAAGGCATGCACCACCACGCCCAGCGATTTACTCACATTCTAAGCAAGGTTTTATTTAAGAAGAAGTCTATTTTTTAAGAAACAGATCCTAGAGCTGTAGCTGCCAAATAGTCACCTCAGGAATTCTTCACAAGTTCTGAGAAGCTTCACAAGGATTTCCGACTAAGAATGAGATGAGGCAGGTCCCCAACTCTGGGTCAACATAATTCATAATTTGGTAAGGGAACCTCTTAAGACAGACAGAACCTGTTGTATTCATGAACTCACAGCAGCGGTGGTGACCTACACAGGATCAAGCTAGTCATAATCCCAGCATGGATGGGGCAGGAGTTCATGAAGCCTCATCCCTAGCTGAGGAGCTAGTGATGGAAGCTAGAGGAGGAGAGAGTTATTTTTCATTGGGGTTGTGGCCACTGGTAGGTTGCCCATGTTCCAGTGGATGGCCTTACACTCATGTGCACATAGGCAAGACTAACTGGACTCAGTGAGATTTAAAAAAACAGAGAACATGAAGACATGAAGTTGGTAGGGGACACAGGGGTGGAGGTCCACAGTGAATTGGAAGGAGGACATGTGGGTTTGATAGCATCACAATACATTGTGTATATGCATGAAATTCTTTGAGAATAAAGAAAAATATATTAAAAATAAAGATGGACCAGACACTCTAATGCCCTCAAAGCGAATCACGGGCACATGTGTACACATACACACACACACACAGACACATAAACTATCTGAAAAAAATATCATTTATAAAATCAAAAGTCAAGGGTGGGTATGGTGGAGCATGTCTTTAATCTCAGCACTTGGTAGACAAAGGCAGGCGTGAGTTCAAGGCCAGCCTGGTCTATATAGTGAGTTCCAGGCCACCTAGGGCTATAGAGAGACTCTGTCTCAAAAAGACCCCCCCCAAAAAAGTCAAACTATAGGAAAAATATTTACAACACAAATGGAAAAAGTTCAATATTCCTAATATTAATAAATTCATAAACTTCTAGATCAGATAAAAGATGACAGTTTTTCTAAAATGTGGTTACTACTTTCTGAACTGCTGAGGATAAAACGTGAAAAAAATACAAAGTGCTCATCAAGGTGCTTGGCACAAAATAAGAGCTCAGTAGAGCCTTTGCTCATCCCCCAGTCCTCAGTACAGCCACCAGAACAGAACCTCCACTGTTGTCACCTCTGCCAGCATTCTCACAATTATCACCATCACAGTGACCACAATCAGCAAGTTCACCATCATCATGGTTTAAGAACCATTAGCAGTGCAAACCTGAGTCAAACCTGAAGGTCAATTTCAATGTAGTCCCCCCTCCCATACCGCAATTAAATTCTTTACCAGGAGGGCCCAATTATATGTTACCTTTTCATGGTTTTCTATTAAGATCTCAATTACAATGTTCTGAAATTTGATATCCATGATGGCTGCTACTGTTTCTTCCTGAGGCCGCAACAAGGTAGGTCCAAATACCACGCCAAGGTTTGCCACAGTCATCAGATTCTGCTTGTGGTTGTTAGCAACACTGGGAAGAAGGAAAGGAACAGATAAGAGAACTAGTACACACAGAGACAGCTGGCCTCCCTGGCATACCCTTGGGTACTATGAATCAGAGACCTTCCCCTTGCATTTTCATCTATTAGCGTTCACAGATGTGCATTCAGCATTCATGTTGTTTTGCTACTTCAGGATATGACCCTCTCTATGAATTCCATTTTCCATAGAAAATAACCAACCAATGAACCAAACAACCAGTCAGGACAAAAATCTGTCAAGTGATGAGCATTTGTACATTGGAGTCCCCGCTCTCCAAGTTCAGGTAACTGCTAATCCCTCTTGGTTACAACTTCGATACTAGTCTGCTGCATACACCACCAAGATTATTTGTATTTTCCCTGATGTAGCTATAGAAGCTTCTGATGATTTTAATTCATGGACAAACATGGGTACATAATAGACCTAAATTTTCAAATGGGCAGGTCTGATATTTGGACCAAGTCAGGAAATGCAGCACTTTAAACACCAAGTATTAACGTCCCATTTGATTAAAAATGTGACTCACATTAAGTGAAGCACGTGGCATCAACAGAAATAAAAATGCACTACTATGTGTCCATGTGTACAGCTGTGTCTATGTTGCCACTTACATTCAAAATTTAAAGAACACAGAGGCTCATCAGTAGCTAATTCAGAGTAATTTGCTAAATATACATGCACATTATTGGATAAATAGCTACTCAAAACATGTACATGTGAACTCCATGCTCAGGCCTTCGTGACCAGTCTATAAAATACCATTGCTCGTCTGTTGCTCCCTTGTATAAAAACTTACAAATGATCTAATGGCAATAAACAAGTTCATGCCATTCATTATTGTTAAGAAAATATGAGGAGCTTCCCTAAATCACCTGTTGGGAGAAGGAAGCTATTCATTACTAACTTGAACCTAGAGAGAAATTTGGGCAGAGACAGTTTGCAGATCTACCTCCCCAGTATTTAGTGCTATTTATACTGTGTTCTTTCATACAATTCCATCAATGCCAGCACTGTTTCACTTGTATACTTCTATTATGTAGGAGGACAAGAGGTTCAACTACCTTAAGTGCCTGTTTTTAAACCGAGCCTTTATTAAAATCCTACTCCAACCAATTTTATCATCAGAGGTACATTTTTTTCTTCAATTTTTTTGTGGCTACAACTTAAACTTAACTTCCTTCTCTGGAAGGGGTCAGGTGTGGTCAGGGCTATAGGACTTGAGGTGTGGCCCAGCCCAATGAGGAAGAGCATTTTCTTGTTGACTACAAGTAACATCCATAGCACAGAGAGCTGCCACAGAAGTCTGGCCTGTTTCTCCCTACAAAAGGATATTTTATAAGAATTTTTGTTAGTTCTACCTGTCTCCTTGGCTTACTTAATAGTTTTCCATTCTTCCAAGAACTATTATCACCTTACCCATCCATAAGAGTTCATGGAGATGATCAAGCAGGGACACGTCAAGGAAGAGAGCCTTTGGTTGAGGTTTGGGTCTATCAGCTAAGCTTGCGCATTTCCCCAAGAGTTCCTATGTGGGAAGGGAGTTCTAGGCTTACACTTCCTCTCCCAAATGAGCTAAATCACTAGATTTACCTCTGTTTGGGCAAGTGAAATCAACAAGCTATACATATCTTAAAGCACTTTCAAATTACAGGCTAACATAAAAACGTATGATTTGGATACTGATAATTTACTACCATCAGGCCCTTCCATCCTCCATCTGACTACAGTCCTCCTGTCCAACATCTCTGTGTCCAGCTTTCCACTGTCTACTATCACTAGTTAAGGTCTGAAATCCAACTCCAACATGCCTCCTTAGCTAAGGGGCCACTCTGGAGAGAACACAAAGGCTCAGCCTATGTGCAATGCTTCTCTTGTTTAACTGTTCTCACAGTGGCAATAAGGCCATGGTTGGTCACTTTTATTTTGTTTTGTTTTTCTGGTGCCAGGGATCTAACCCAACATCTTATACATGCTAAGCAAGTGCTCCCTTATTCTCCACCTAAATGTGGATACTCGTATAAGGAGTGCACCTTCCCCCATCTCATTTTTAAGCCTCTGCCATCCCCTAGTACTGGGTCACAGACAAGTGACTTAATTCACCAAACCTGGAAGCTTTGTGTTCCTCCTCTTCTGAAAAGAGGAGGTACGTGAGGATGAAACACCTACTTTATGACATACAGTGCAAGCCAAATGCAACTATGCATGGGAAGCTCAGTGATGAGGCCAATTCATTTCCTATTCTCTTTTCCCACTTCTCTGCTCTTGCTCATGTCATTTCTCTGCCTAGAATGTTCTTTCTCATTCTTTGCTTGGCAAACTTGCTCTGAAAGGCTCAGCTCATATGCCTCCTTTCCTTTCTGCTCCCTACTGGTCTCCTCCTAGCCCTCCACTCTAGATACAGACAAACAAGCTGGCTGCTTCTGAGCTTCATATCCAGTGTTGCTGTTTCCACCACTACTTGACCACAGGGACTAAGGTAATGACTATGCCAATGATAAGCATTAAATTTGGGACTGTTAGAGCATAAAGGGAACTTCATGGTAGACATAACTAGTATTTTTAGCCCAGTTGAAAATCTCAAATAATTATTATTATTGATCTTGGGAGAAATGTACCTAACTACCCTAACCTCCCTTTTTAAAGACCCAAGTCATGTTCTACTTCTTAGATTTAATTAATGGGTAATATTTATTTTCATTTGAGCAGGCCCCGATGCCCAAAGGCATTTGGAAGAATGGTTCAGTAATTCTGGATTGGCAACTCTGAATATAAATAGGCTTGAGTTTACTCAATAAATTCATTTCCCTCCTAATGATATATTTTATTTTGGAACTTAAAAACACATTGATCTAGGTCTTCAGAAACTTTTCAGTGACAAACCTGCACTGTTTGATTATAGCTATTACATTTTGGCACTGAAGTAATAAATTGATCTGTCACTTGATTATTACCTCTCACAACTTGGTACAGTTACGTTCATTACTCCAGAATGAACTATTAATGACTTGAGATCTCTGTGTATCAGAGAAAGAAAGGCCTAGACCTCAGCCTCTGCTGGCACCAGTCATGCGTTATAGCTTGACGGATTTACAGATGTGTGGGAAGCAAGCTGGCAGGGCACTAGGAAGCTGGTCCAGCAGAGGCCTTGGGACTCATTCATTAGGGAGGACCATAAAACACCAGCCCACCTTCTGTTTTGGTAATTGAATTGCCTGGACTCTTCTTCCCACAGTTCAGAATGTCATGCTATTCTTGCCTTAAAATCCATACACCGAGCCGGGTGTGGTGGCGCACACCTGTAGTCCCACCACTTGGGAGGCAGAGGCAGGCGGATCTCTGTGAGTTTGAGGCCAGCCTGGTCTACATAGTGAGTTCCAGGACAGCTGGGGCTACAGGGAGACCCTGCTTCATAAAGACCAAAAAAAAAAAAAAAAAAAAAAAAAATCCACACACGATGCTTCTTGTGTTGCACTCTGCACCAAAAGGGGCTTTGATACATGATTTTCAGATCCCCATGTCTAGATGGGCTACTCTGCTGTGGTGCCTTCCACAAGCACTGCCAGACAGAGCAGCCCTTCCTGCAAACTTAGCTCACAGGGTGCAGAGAAACAATTCCACATGTGATTTTCTGTTAGGAGAAGACCCAGTTGCTTTATGACCCTTTAGTTTGCTATGTCAGCTGAGAACTGGTCACCTCCAGAGGGACATGTCTAGTTGGGAGATCTACATTCCATGTTCCATATAGTTAATTAGCAAATGAAGAACAAATTTCAATGAAAATGGTCTTTTTGAGACAGGGGCTCCCTGTAGCCCCAGCTGTCCTGGAACTCACGATGTGGACCAAGCTGGCCTTGAACTCACAGAGATCCGCCTGCCTCTGCCACCCGAGTGCTGGGATTAAGGGCGTGTGCCACCACACGCAACAACTCATCTTTTTAATCAAGGAAAAGTAACTAGAGGGTCTAGATGAATCTGATACACTCTGAAAGACAGAAAGAGGGAAATCACTTCCAGGTGAATACTGTGTTTGTGATTAGAGAGGGAGAGGGAAAGGCAGGCAGTGGCTAATCCTTCTGGGGCCTATTAGGAAAGACCCTCAAAAATTGCATAAGGATTGTTAGGGAAAGAGGAATTTACTGCTTGTTTGAATATACTGCTTCTTTGAATTTACTGCTTGTAACCAATTAACTCAGCTGGAGATACAGGCATCTGGATATAGGGGCAAGTTGTCTGGTCTGTGTCATGTCTGTAGGCATGTCTGCTTACACAAGATAACAGAAAAGAGTCGTACCAGGCACATACCAATGATCTCTCCCCGACTGAGACACCTGAAGGGAGTTGTAACATTTTTCTTGTTTTAAAGTTATTGGTTTGTGAAATGCTTGCTTTGAAACTATTGGCTGTATAAACGCGGGCTTTTGTGTAACGGTTGTGGGAGCCTATATAATCTTTACCTAAAATTGCCTCAGGGTTGATCGCTCTGACCAGACCTGCATGTTTTGGGAAGGACGGTCAGCCCTAGCTAGCTGGTTTAATAAAACTCTGCTTGATTCTTGCATCTCCATACTCGTGCATTGTTCTCCAGAAGAGACCCACTGAGTCATGGACCCTAACAGGATCACATCTGTTTTCCTTGCACGTCAGAGCTCTAAGTGCTAAGGAGTTCTTTACATGAAGTCATGAAGGACTCCAAATACCTGTAAAACTACAATAGACTTTGCAAACTGGTTTTTCTCTTTGAGGCCTGTGGTGCTATACTGAGAATCCAATGTGAAAGCTGAATCCCAGCTCTACTAGACATAATGTGGTGACAGGTTAGCAATATTTATACAAATTCAATGGTTAGAAGTCACAGCACATAATCATTGCTCTGCTATCCCTTGTTTGCTTTGGTCTCCAGGGTCAACTAATGATAGTTCAGACTTACAAGGTGATGGAGACTTTATGAAAAGCTCTACGACAGCTTTTTATGTGTATGTGGCCTTCATA